CTTTTACATCAAAGCAACAAGCAAACACATTACTCATGATGAACATAAACAGTAAACACTGATGATCTGTATATAATGAATATATGTAGCCATTACCAACCCAAAAACACCCTTCAACCAATATGATGTAGAAATAATAGAAAAAAACAAAAAGAAAAAATCAGAAACAAATATAAATTAGATAGCTAAAACCCAAGTTCATGTTTTTTTTGTTCACTTCTCTTGTGATCTGTTAAGCAAATTTTGTGATGATGTCTGTTTTTGAGGTTATCGAACTTCACTTCCCATTCCCAAAGATCCGTCTTTCATTAATTTCAAGCTTAGACTGTTGTAGCGTTCACGTGAATACTGTCTCGATGCCTTTCTCCAATCCGTGCCCGCTTTCATCATAGCTGCAAATTCATCGTAACTTATACGCCCGTCCTGCAGAACAAAGCCATTATTATAGGTTAGAAGATCAAGAAAAGAAAATTTGAGCTTCTTTTAGATTTTTTCTGCTCATAGGGCTTTTGGGGGGTGGTTTTATCTTAGAGTTCGTTTCGAGTCCTTTTAGGCCTCAAGTTCTCTTTTTTCTATGTTTGTTTAGTTATTTTAGTTCTTTAGATTGATGGGATTGGTTATACATCAAAGTGTGACATTAGTGTGCTTGCAAAAACATAAATTCATAAATTCACAGTGAAATATAATTTCCGAATGTAGTCATGTAGAATGAACCTTTCCTTTGGAAAATCATAATTATTTGCACTTTAAGTGTAACCCATTACTTGGTACCAAGCTCACTACCAAAATTATACGTCCACCTAAGTGGCAGACTCGCATGCTTCGGGATCCGACAAATTTTCATGATTTGTTATGTGGCTTAGATGACTCAATCAAAAAATAATTAGGTTTTAATAGCCATAAATATACTAGTATATTCATGGTCTTTTTTAAGAGCTTACAATTTTTTTACTAGACGTGATTTATAAGGCATAATTTTTTTTCCTCAATCTTTCTTTTTTCCTCATCTTCTTTTAAAATTATGAAAAAAAATACTAACTTATATTACAAGTAAATTTAAAAGTTAATAATTTTTTATTTATTTATTATCAATTTTTTATGCATGGTCAAATTAATCATGTCTTGATGAGCTTCAATTTGACACATATATCATACATACAAAATAAATAAATAATTACATTTATTAATAAAAAATTAAATTACCTATTAATACTAATTAAAAAAATAAAATTATTTATATCAATTTAACTACAAAGTTGTTAAATGATATAATTTAAAAAAATTATTATAATATAAGATGGTAAGCCGTATAAGTTATGAGTGTTATTATAAATATAAATAGAAACATATTTATTCAAAAAGTATTTAAAAATTAATTATTATTTTTTTAATTTTAGATATAAATTTCTTAACAAAAACCCGTGTAATACACGGGTATTGTACAGTATGTAAACCTTTTCTTTCTTTTGGAAGGAGCATATTAAAATCATTAATGAAAAAAGTTATTCTAAAGCTTATATAGGTAGAAGGATTAACTGACCTTATCTGTGTCGACATCTTGAATAATGGCGTTAATTACTTCCTCGCTCGTTTCCTCTGCCTCGTCAGCAAATGCATCTCTGAGCTCTTCGATTTCTATGTATCCACTCTTGTTTTTATCGAAGAAATCAAAGGCTTTCTTGAGATGCTCGTCATTTCCCATCTTCTTCAGGTGTACAGAGATCGCAACAAACTCACCACAGTCGAGATATCCATCTTTATCCACGTCACCCTGTGAAAAAAAAAAACTTGTTACCTCATCTTAAATAAATATTTTTATCTTATCTTAATGACCCAAATGAGAAATTTTATGAAAAAAAGGAAAAAGAAAAAAAAAATAAGAAGGCACTCACAGCTTCCATCAGAGCTTGAAGATCGCTTTCGGGAATCTGATAACCGAGCTTGTGCAGCCCAACTCTAAACTCGTTAATGTCAATTTTACCCTTGTTGCTCGTGTCCATCAATTGAAATCCTTCTTTAATCCCTGCAACTTCTTCCACCGATAAATGCTCGGCAATCACCTGCATTTGGGAAGCAAAACGAGTGATGAAGTAAACTGAATTAAGACAATATTTATTTAATAATATGGGTCCAAGAAAGATACGATTTTTCGTTTTTGTATTATTAGTTTATTACCCTCAGAGCCCTTTTCTTCAGCTTATTCATCATCGAGAACTGTTTGAGCCGAGCTCTCACAGTTTCACCCAGAGAAACATTAGGAGCACTCTTTGCATTCTGTAGCCAAGGATGATCTGGGAAAAAAATAAATAAAAAAATCAGTCCGAGATGCAAAATTATATTTTTTGGACAAATGGGCTATATAAGTTTTTACCGAGAACTTCTTGAGCTGTAAGCCGCTGTTTGGGGTCAGGATTAAGCATCTTCTTGACGAGATCTTTTGCTCTATCAGAAACTTTAGGCCAAGGATCTCTTCTGAAATCCACCACCGAACGAATAATTGCTTGGGCAACACCTTGTTCAGTTTCTGTAATTTAAAAAAAGAAAAAAAAGAAAAAACAATTTATGACAGAATATGCAGAAAAACGGGAGATCGAACACATAACACGATAGAGCTCACTTTTTTAATCCAAAATGTTAAATTGGTTCAACTGGTTCAATAATCATTATCTCATCATACCATACTAAACTTACCATAATTCAATTATACCCAACTAGAATTTATTTATTTATGTATTTATTTTTTTCAAGATAGGTTAAAAAGAACTGACCAGCCCAAAAGGGTGGAACACCACACAATAAGATGTAAAGAATAACACCAGCACTCCAAACATCGACTTCGGGTCCATAATTTCTCTTGAGAACCTCTGGAGCCATATAATAAGGACTTCCCACAATCTCATTGAATCTCTCACCTATAAATATTCAAGAACTATATTAGGTATATAAGATATAAACCATGAGAACAGGTAAATTTTACAAATAGAAAGATTTAAATCAGTAATGTTCTGGGCTTTACCAGGCTTGAAGAAAACTGACAGCCCAAAATCAATGGCCTTAAGTGGTGCTGTTTCCTTTTTGTTCCCAAACAAGAAATTTTCAGGCTTGAGATCACGATGCATCACTCCGTGTTTATGGCAATTCTGCAAAATAAAATTAAGCTATAAGAATATATTTTTCTTCCTTTTTAACTCGGAAATCGGATGAGTGAACGTGTAACATTTCATATAAAGTGTTAGAAAATTGAGAAACCAATTTCAATTAATTATCTTTTGTTTTTCCAAACAAATGCCAATCTATTAAGTTCTACTTCAAAAATATCTATATACGAAAATGCAGGCATCATGGGAAAAATGGAAAACAACCCAGACTAAACTAAACAACCATAATAGTCCAAATGTTGACAGATATTCAAGACAAGATAAACTTTCATTCAACTGCATAAAAGTTGCCTTTTCACATGATAAATCAAACTCTCCAAACAACCAACACATGCAAAACTTTTTTAACATCAATTGAATTCGGCCAAGAACTGCCTTTGAAATAAAGTGAACGTAATCAATGAGCACCACGAGTTTTTTTACTTGAATTCAGAAGTCCAAATATGCAGGACAGTTAACCTCAAATTACTAAAGCTGCAGAGATTTGCTTAACTGAATATGATGCTCACTAAAACAGATTCAAATATGAAGCAAAACGCGAGAATAACATGTCTCACATAATGCTCGGAGGCACTTTTTAAACTTGTTTACATTAACATCTTTCCAGAATAAATACTTACACTATTAATAGTAATCTATACTTATATAAAAAGAATTACTATTTACTAAATATAGCAAGCAAAACAAATTTCAAAATTTCTAAATAAGGAAGGGATAGAAGTTTAAATAAATATGGTTGCTTTAACGAACTTATATAGGGAAAACAGNTGGAGAATATAAAATGGTACGAGTTTGCACCATTCATTTTAGTAAAACAAAAACAAAACAAAAAAAACTTAAATGAATTTTATAAAAAAATTAACTTCATTTAATTAACCTGCACTAATTATACCGTCCATGCAAAGAAAAAAAAAACACAATTATATTTATGCAATTAAAAAAAGTGTATGCTACAACATTGGATATTAATCCATATAGATACTCACTTAATAAATCTTCACCACATCATTTGTTGGAATAAAAAACTTAATAACGAAAAAAAAAAAAAAATGGCTATGTTTACTTGAAAGACTATCTACAAGTGTACAGATTTTTAAATTCATTTTCAAATTGAAACTTTAAATTCGTACTCAAATTGAATTGAATAATATAATTTAATTAGAACTGTAGGAGTTTCTTAGAAAAAAAACTATCAAGCAATTTACATTGATTTTCAAAAACAGATAAATACTGATTTCTAAAATTATGGGGATTGTTTACTTGATATAGATTATGACCACGTGTACAGATTTTAAAACCATCATGAAATTCAAATTGGAATAATATGATTTAATTAAAATTGTAGGAGTTTGTTAAGAACAAAAACTCTCTGTGAGTTTGCATTGATTTTCAAAAACAAATAAATACGGATTTCTTTTATAATGAAATCATTTATTCGTATTTCATCATAAATCTCAAAGATGTGTACTTTGTTGATACGTGTTTGAATAAAAATCTTAATAACAACGAGATTTTAAAATCATTACATAAAATTGATAAATGAAGTATATGCAACGTAGAATTGTTAAGTCTCCGTTTATTTTATACATTTGAATACAAATTTTGATAATGAGATTTTAAAATTATTATATAAAATTAATGAATGAAGCATATGCATAAAGCATGGAGTTATTAAGCCTCCGTTTATTTTATACTCAAATTGATGATGAAATAATTTTCGGTATCATCTCAATATTTATTTTATATATAATATGTAAATCTTCTCTCAATTTTAATATTTCAGACATAAATTTTTTTATGTTCTTTATATAAGATAATTTTATATTCTTACAATAGACTATATAAAGTAAATTTTATCATATGTAACCCCACATCTTTAATTTATATTATAGTTAATATTGCTTATCCTAATATTTAGTTTATAATTATTATTAGTATTATTATTTTATTTTTTTTTGGTACAATGAAAGAGGCCATAAGCCTATATTAGGACTCGACGGGGATACGACACTCCAATAATATCATACTCTAACCAAACTCCCAGAACCGAAGGCGGGGAACCTACTCGCTGAATGTTGGGATTATTAGTATTATTTACCCGTGCTATGCACGGGCTACACTAGTACCGTGTAAAAAGCAAGTCTTTTCAAGATAAACCAAATTTGGCACTAAAGTATGTAAACACCAATACACCATAACCAGGAGCAATTATGAAAATTAACACATTCAAGCACAAAACAACTTTTCTCATCCAACAAATCCTCCTCAGGAAAGATAAAAAGGAAAAAAAAAAGGAAAAAATATATTTCAATAAATATCACCTGAATAACCTCAACAATCGTTCGAGTCACGGCTGCTGCAGCCCTCTCCGTATAATGCCCTCTGGCCACAATCCTATCAAACAACTCACCACCTTCACACAACTCCATAACCAAATGCACTGCATGATCATCCTCATAAGTATGCTTCAAGCTCACGATATTCGGGTGCTTAGGCAAATGCTTCATTATCTCAACTTCTCGCCTAACATCCTCAATATCGACCCTTGTCCTAAGCTTCTTTTTGGATATCGACTTGCAGGCTAACGATTCACCACTGGTTTTATCCGTACACAAATACGTGACACCAAACTCACCTCGGCCGAGCTCACGCCCGAGCTCGTAAAATTCCTCGATGTTATGTCCGGTTGGATTTTGCAACACATAAGATTTGTGCCCACCTTTTGGCACATGGCCATTGCTATCAGAAGCAAATGGGTTTGGCTTATGCTTGCCCTTTCTCTTTTTCTTATCGGAATTTTTCGGTACCGCGCAGCAATTCCCCATTTGAATGCAAAAAATATTTCGAAAAATTCACCTTGAAATATTTCAGAATTCAGTCAAACAAGTCCCAAAGAAAAAGAAACACGGATCAAATGAAACCAAGTACTTTTATACTTTGATCAACACCACAATAGACTAAATCGAAGAGGCAAGCTCTAAACTTTAGGGACGATTCACTTTCCTGGAACCTTCAGCCAAATGGGGTCTCTAGAATTGCAGTAGTCAACAAAGATCAAGACTCTATTTTCACAATCAAAATACTAAAATGAGAAATAAAATTAGAAATTTTAAGTGGGTTCTCTTCAAACTATGAGAAGCTTCAGAACCCAGATAGAAAAAGACTTCAGATCCCCGGATACTGAAGAAACTCCGGCAAAAAGAACAAAACAGCTGGAGTTTTCTGTGATTCTTTCGGATGGAAAATGGGAAAAATCAAAGCTTTTCAAGACTGTGCTGACCTGGAATCAGACAAGGAGATGCATAGAACCTTATGAAGCTCCGAATGGAGATTTTAAGGGAGTGAAAAAGGTTTGGGATTAGGAGAAAGAAAGGTGAGATGGAGAATTTTTAGAGCATCATCTCATGAGAAAGACCTTTTTGGGACCTTTCTACTAGTACTACACTACTACTTAGTTACAAAATAAAAATAAAAATAAAATAAAATAAAATCTACCTATTATTTAAACAAAAAAAAATCATAGCTATAATCATTGTAATAAATAACATGATATATATAAAATATTTAGTTAAATTTAACTTATTATTATAATTATTGATCAAATAAAATTAATATAATAAAAATACGAAAGTGAAGCATAACCGCATGACATGTCACCCTACATTTGCTTTGATACGATGATTTTTTTAATTAAATAAGAAAAAACAAAGAAAATGGATTTAAAAAAAGAAACCAAATTTGATAAATTGGTTTGTTTTCTTAAAAATAAAAACAAAACAAAACAAAAAATGCTGATTTTCCAATGCAGACGTCGGCTTTCCTGTCATTCTAATATTTGTATCTGTCATTAAATATTTATCCAAAATTTACTGTAATAGTTATTCCTTAACGCGTCTCTTCTCCATTTTCAACGAATCAATCGCTTGAAATTTCTGTATCTTATTTAGAAGAAAAATAAAAGTTGATTTATTCACTGCAAAAATAATTAAATTACTGTTACAATTGGTAGGTGGCACATTTGATTTTGGTCAACTATGCAAGTTGACAAAGGGGAAGCAGAATATCTCCAAAATGGGATCAATGTAACCATCTCATCTAAAATTAGAGAAACAATGATCATGATTTTGCATGTTTGTATTTATTTAATTGATTATTAGCATGCATGTTATTTGTGCAAATCATGATGAAATGAAACCAATTTTCGTATATTAATGAGTTAGCTACATTATTATTGTAGCATATACCACATAAATTGGATAACATCTTAATTTATTTCATTATTGCGACATGCACATATAATAAGTCTTTGGATTTTAGATGAAGATAATAACTACACATAAGTCTTTGGATTTTAGATGAAGCTAAAGTTATTATCTTTCAATTCCTCATAATGAAATCAAGATGACAGGCAATTGATACCTATCAAGATGACAATAAAATTAGAAGTCCACAAATAATAGAATAAACACATATTCTGGTGTGATGTCGGTCTAACTATTAGACTGGTCAACTCGTCATACATTTATGATCTGTTTTATTTTTTAGAGTATGACATTTTAGTTTGAAAATATGATATCTATAGAGAAAAATATGATTGTTTAATTGTTGGATTTCGTTAACAATGGTCTTATTTACTGTAAAAGAAATGAATATTTGAGTAATTATTCTTAAATTCTATTGAAAGGAAAAGGAAATGAAGAATATATCTCAAAGATACTCAAATATTTGGCTAATTCGTACTTTTTATTGATAAGAAACGGATCAAAGAAGAAGAATTTTCAAGATACCCAAATGGTGGTATCTCAAACCATTTTGTGCATCTTTTTCAACACGGTTTATGAACAATAGGGGCATAGGTTTCCATGTTTTAATTTTCTAATTGGGTCCTTCAAAGAACAATTTTTTTCTATTAGATCATTTTTTTTCTTGAAGAAATTAAAAAAAAAAAAATGTGCGATGTTGGTCATTTACATCATATATTCATTCTTCACTTGCAAATATTATTCACCTGACAGAAGATATGACAAAATTATGGAATAAATGGATGCCAACAACCTTAGAAGCAAGCATGATTTTCTTGTTGACTTTGAAGAAAGACCAAACAGCCTTTCTTTTTGACTTGGAATATAACCAAAAAGGATAACATACTTTTGACTGCTTCTGCCAAGAATGATTCAAATAAAACTAGACCCCAATTTGGATCCACAAGGTAATGTATTTATACAAAGGAAAAAAAGATGTGATCTTTCATATATGTAAGTATGGCAAAATTTATACATTTTATCAGCTAAAACATAAAAGTTCCGCATTGCTACAAACTCCCGCATAAATTTATACAAAATAATTTAGACATTGTAAATGAGCTGTTTCCGGACGCAATTTGTGCGTGTACAAAAATGTTCGGCTCGAATGTTCGTTCAAAATTTATAAAGAAAACAAACAAGCAAGCAATTTGGGAATGAGGTCGGGTGGGTCGACCTGTTTAATAAATGAAGAATGAGTTGAGCTCCAGCTTCAACGTGCCAAATTAAGTTATGTTCACGAACAACTCTGAAATATTTATCTAGCATTTTAGGCCCATAAACAGTTTCAGCCAAGCCCAATACCATTCACTTGGGTCACAACACTTGCTAATTTTTATTTTGCTTTTGGGCCCTCTCTATAATCAGTGATCACGTATTTCGATTCGTGATAATATTGGGCTCCCATCTGAAAAATCGAGCTTTCAAAACATTATTTAGCATTTTAGCTATAGTATTTTGAAAAGTTCAATCTTTAACTCGATGGCCAAATAGGCAATTCATGAGCTACTTATCAATTTTAAATTTTTCATTTTTTTTAATTGAAATCTATCTAAAACTTAACTTTAAAGAGAGTGTATATAGTAAATATCGCAAGTTAGCTTAAAACTTATTCACTTATTTAGTTACCTTATTAGATTATTTTATTCTTTTTTTTTATTCTAATAATTTTGGTTTGATATTATAGCTTAAAAAAAATCAGCAGGATTTACAAGTTTCTTTACATAACATTTCAAAAAAAGTTTGTTAAGATTTTTTTTTTTCAATTGAGTAATCTACTAGCTAATTTTACCAGTATCACTGCTATTATTTGAGTTGATTTTCCGTAATCAATCATATGGTGTCAATTATGAACTAAAAAATAACCTATAAGCTCTCTCTAACTTATCAAGTGTAGCATATCTTATCAGTTAAAGTTAACCAAACATACCTATATATTGATTGATCAAACTACAATACGTTGTCGTTATCTGATAAAGTACAAATGAGATGAATTAGGTAGCCTTTTACCCTTCCATAAAAGGTAAAAAAATTTAACGAAACAAATATAACTAATAAAACGGGAGTTCAAATTAGCAACGACGTCCCATCATTTTGGTCTAAGTGTAACTAAACTTTGCTGAAAATTGAAAAAATTAATTCGAACTAATAAAGTCTTGAAAGCCTTTGTTTGCGCATGCATCGTTTCATTAATTTTATTATATATTACCTTTTCACTGTGCACATCTTTGTCAAAAATCATGTCCCAATTAAATGGCAAACACATTGTATCACAAATTTTATTAATTCTTTACTAAAAGGGTTCGAGATGATGATATAGTTTCGTACACACATTCATATTCCAACGTTATAAGTTATGTAACACAGTCATAATTCCATCATTATCAACCAAATTATTCTTACTTTTCGTCTCTTCTATGAACACTTCTGTTAATTAAGAGTAAAGTAAGTTATTTCTTAACAAGGAAAAGAAAAAGAATAGTATTTGATGCGACATTCAAAATTAGTCCGGTTCGAATTTGATCTGGCACGAATTATACGATATCTTATACATTAAAGTAGTACGAAGATCAACTAATTAAGATCTCTAGAACATATTGTTGAAATTAGAATCACATATATATATATAATCTTGATTTTGATATATTTGAATCATTGACGATTAAGTAAACCTCAAATTATTAAGGAATATAGATGATCTGAATTCAATTTCTAAATCACATGTCTTACTAATAAATATTATTAATTCAACAAACGAATTAAGTGTTATATTTTATAAATTGATCCAGTTCGTAATTGTGAAAATAGTCGTATGATGGTCTTTTATATATATATATATATTTTTTTTTTTTAAAGTCCTAATTAGTTAATTAATCAACTAAGCTTCTTGAGAATATATAAAACCTTATATATAACTAGAAAAATTTTAAAAAAATAAATACACAATAGTTTATATTTATGTGGAACATCCAAGCTTAGCTCACTATTTTTGGACTGGTGCATGGCTTCTTGATTTTTCGTGCATGTCAAAATCAGAGGACAAAATGGGAAATAAAAAAAATAAACACTATTTAGGACGTGATAACGTTTTTTATTTAGTGTAATGACGTGGGGCTCATCCAACTCCCCATATTCCACCGTACACGTGTCATTAATAACGCTGTAAGCACTGTGGGGCCCAGCCCAGCCAATAGAATTTCGCCGCGTTTGTCGATTAAAGTTGGGGAGTCTGTAATATCGCGACGCGTGTAAAGACTTGTGTCTAATCCACTCACGGTCACCCAATTTATGGTGGGAACCTGAAATGTAATCTTTTCCGGCCGACACTGGAAATGATAAAGGTTGAAAATAACCATTTTAGCAGTCAAGTCCCTCTAAATAGATGTAACCTCATTTCTGCTCATCAGATTTTTGTTTTCCTTTTTGCTCTTTTGAACCATAAGGACCTATTGGTTGCTTATAGTGAATAGATGATAATCGATTTTGTAATAGTTGATTTAACTAAATAATTGTATTAACGGTTTTTAAATGAATATTTGGCTAATAATAATATGTATAACTATTTTGGAAATTGCATCTTATGTGTTATTTTATAAATTTTGTCTATTCAAAACGTTGTGTTAACTTGAAAGACTATTTTTTTTTCTTCTTTTAACCAAATAAGTTAGTTATTGGATATGACATCCAAATGAGATTCAATTTGCTAATTTAACTTCAATCCGTCAACTTCCCAAACTAGTCCGACCAGCTTTGCTTACAAAGAGATTCAAAAAAGACGTTTGGGATTAGTTTATAATTATAAAAAATGTTACAGTCCCGTTACAGAACCATTGTTTGTAACTGTTAGATGCACATGTGCATCTAATCTACATGTACATCTTTACAAATCCCAACGGAATAATTCCGTACCGGAACTGTAGCATTACTCAATCTTTACCTATCTAATTATCAGCTTACTCAACCCTAGAAGTTATAAACAAAGATTGATAAGACGCAAATTTATTCTTGAAAATTAGTATTATGGAAGTATTATTACAGCTATTTTGTATCCATTAAAATTCATTTTATTTGTATAGTGTGAAAGAGGCTAAAGCCAAAATAAACAACATAGAAGGGCTTCTCCATAATATTGACCAAAAGATATTAAAGCTACCTTGATTAATCATAAGTGCCACCAATAAAAGCCATCTCAACTCTTGGCCTATCCCAATTATATTCCAATTAACAATACATACCAATNAAAAAAAAAAAAAAAAAAAAAAAGAAGGTAATAAAAAAGAAGGTAGCTTATGAAGTTGAAACTCAATACCCTTTTTACTGCATGCATGTGTATGTGGCTCTCATCCATTCCTCACTCCTTCACCTTCCCCACTCCTTTTTGGTCCAAACTTTAAAAAAGCCAAAAACCCCTCTCTCTCTCTCTAAACTCCTTTCCTAATGTTGAGTGATCAAAGAGCTCTAGTACCCACCTCAACCAGCTCAAGCAACAATCTTCTACAGTACCTCGATGAGCCCGAGCCCGATCAATCTCCGGCCATCCGGGAAATCCACGCCCTAACACCACCGCCGCCGCCTCCGGCAGCCTCTGCCGGCCGGTCCCCGGCCATCTCCACGTCATCGACCGAGAACTTCTCGAGCATGAGCCGAGAGTTCAACGCCCTCGTCCTTGCTGGGTCCGCCATAGGCGGTGGGCCCCGCGAGCTCGACAATATACGCGAGGAGAGGGAAGAAGAGACCTACAACAACCCCTTAGCCATCGTGCCAGACAGCAGCAATCCAGTGGTGGGGCCCACGCGGGAAGTCTCGTCGATGCAGAGAGTGAAGAAGGAAGAGGTGGAGACGAAGATAGGCGCGTGGCAGAACGCGAAAATTGCGAAGATCAATAACCGGTTCAAACGGGAGGATGTGGTGATCAACGGCTGGGAAGAGGAGCAGGTTCAGAAGGCCAATACCTGGATGAAGAAAGTCGAGGTGCTCGATTAAATTATATTAACATGATGAAATAGGTTTTCTTGATTGAGCTTTAAACCTGATTCTAAACCTGATTCAAATTCAGAGTGGTTCATGCTTTTATGTTCAACAGCATTTGATTCCCAAAGTTTTAACCATAAGAATAGATCCCTTGGTTAGTCTATAGCTTTATACAATTGGAGGGTACAATTTGATTGTAGAAAAATAGAATCGAATAATCAGGAAAAAAGATGCATGAGTAGCACATATATATAAGAATTCTTGTATGAAGCGGTCTAGTAGTTAGGTGGATTAACTTGTCATATTAATTTAACTCGACTGATGTTAACTCGAACTTTTTTTAAATTTCGATAGGTATCAGCAGTGGTGAGATGATTTTTGTGCATGTGGGTTTCTTGATTGAGGTTTCAAATCAGAAGTTATAGGTCAATATGGCTGCAGTTGATTCTGAACATGTTTCAAATTCAGAATGGTTCATGCTTTATGTTCAAGAGCATTTGATTCCAATTTTTTTTTTTCTTGTACATAAGAGGGAAGGTAGAACTTGATTCTAGCAAAATAGAACATTTAATTGCTTGTAATCAAAATTATTGTATGATGCGGCCTAATAGTTACGCGGATCGACTCGTCATACTTTCTTCTTAATAGAAACGCATACTTGAAATAATGAAATGTCATGCTTTTTTATGTTGTTTTTAAAGTATGACATTTCAATTTGAAAGTATGCGTGCATATGTTGGAAAAGTATGAGTGTTAACACTTTATCCTGCCCAGTAGTCTTACTGATATATTAGGGGTTATGCAAACATTTCCCTGTCTTTTCATTTTAAAGGCAACTCCAGTTATTCCAAATCTATCCTGTGGAGCATGAACCTCTTGTACCTAGTGGTTTTTTCCTATTCCCCTGCTTTAGTTCCTCTAGAGTCTAGTTACTCAATAATGTATAGTAGATATCAACACAAATTTTAAAATTTTCAAATACTCTTTGTTTGTAGAGAAAGCTTGAGGAGAAAAGAGCAAAAGCGCTCGAGAAAATGCAAAACGACATTGCGAAAGCTCACAGAAAAGCAGAGGAAAGAAGGGCATCTGCCGAGGCCAAGAGGGGCACGAAAGTCGCCAGAGTCTTGGAAGTTGCGAATTTGATGAGGGCCGTTGGCCGGGCCCCGGTCAAGCGATCATTCTTTTGAGCTATATATATATATATACACTTGAAATATTTTAGTTCCCATGGAAATATTGTTTGCAATGCCACATAAAGTACATGTGAACCATCTCCCAAGTATGATGAGGTTTTCATGAATGATTTAGCAAAATGAGGTTTTGAGGGGTTTGCCTTTTTGAACCCTTTAAAATGGTGTCAATCTTTGTGTGCTAAGTGTGTCATTTTGAGAGTTTGCAGAAGTTAGGGAATTTGAGGGACTAAATGTATGTCCTTTCTTTCTATAGATTGTAATTGAAGTATGTCAGAAATACTCTATCCTGTATTATGAGGACAAGAGCATTTGTTACATATGATCTATATCACTTTATGTGTGTGTACATACATATCATATTCATTTCTTATTTTAATGTTATCATTTTTTACTAGTCTTATTTTTACAAGGGAATTATCATTATGGAGCCAAATTGGTGTGTGTTGATCAATGGTAAAAAATCCAGCGAGGGTTAAGCACGAATTTTCTGAAGAAACACACACACACACGCACACAACTCGTATTCTTTCTGGGAACTTTTGGAGATCACATGCTGAAGGAATTAATTTTATTTTTTTTTTCTTTTTAGATGACTTAATCTGTTGAGGGGACAGAATTATGAGACATTTTAGTTCCAAGGAATTTACGAGACTTGATTTGTAAGAGATGATGATGAAAACATCGTTTTGCATGGTATGTTTACAATTTAATCAAGAAAAGGGCTGGTGAATACCTGGTTTTGGTTCTTCTTCACTATCCAGTGCAGCTTGTTTCTCAACTAATTAAATGACTTCACATTCATCACCCGAAAGACCTTCATTTTCCTCAGCCACAACAGAAGTTGTCGCGTTAATTTGTCGAAAATCATGATTATTATGCTTGATTCTGTTCATGATAGAAATAGAAATTCCAACTGCAGCAAGCTCCACATGACCTGGTTGAGATAAATAGAGACACTGAACTTTTTTAAGTAATTTTTGAAAACATACCTATAGCTTAATGGCCGATGAATGGAGTCTGCGGATAGAGCCAGGGCAGCAGGTAATGCGATTCGAGCTATCTCAAACAATTCCATGGATTCGGAGTAGGCTATTCTTTTTGGAAGCTCGCCCGTTAACCATTTCTAATTTTCTTTTAATAAATCCTTAATTTTATGTTTTCAAGTTTTTGTAACGTCTTTTCAAGCAAAATGAAGCCATTACCTGAACTCAACTGTCATCCTGAACAAATTGACCAAGGATACAAATGTAGCCTTGCAAAACAAAACAAACAGAAAAAAAAAAAAGAAAAGAAAAGAAAACATCACTGTATTTCAATCACCAAAAATCGCCACAAGAACACTCCCCATTCTCAAACCTATGAAACCGAGTATTGTCCCTCACCGTTATAACCCTCCCCGTGCATTTGGACATAAACTTTATCGCGACATGACAGTCACCGCAAACACGCAAGTTCTTCATAACCCTAATCGGCCTCCCAGCCGGAAAAGTGATCAAGGCAAACGCGATCGCCAGTCGCTCGCTGTGAAACTTAATCGCCTGCCTTTTTTCCTCGTTGTCAACTTCTTTCGACATGTAACTCATATCCACAACATAACCAGCCTTCTCCATATCCTCTCCTAATTCCTGCAGCTTTCTATAAATCTCGTCACTCATTTCGTGCTTTCTATCACCGGCAGAAAACGTGTGGACCCTATTATTCTCCTCGACCCAGCTCAAGCCCGTTTCCTTTTTCTGCCCTCGGTCCTTGAGCATTTTCCTCACCTTAGCCGCTTCTTGGTACCTCCCTGCAGCCGCATAAGCATTGGACAGAAGCACGTGAAGGCCTGGGTTCACAGGCCCAGATTCAAAGATCTGATCGGCCACCGAGCCTGCCAGTTCTGTATTTTTATGAATTTGGCATCCGGTCAGTAAAGCTCCCCAGGTGGACTCTGTCGGCTGCATCGGCATCTCGTTGATTACTTTCAGGGCTTCGTCCAATTTGCCAGCTCGTGCAAGAAGGTCAACCATCGAACCATAGTGTTGACTTCCGGGCTCTATGTTGAATTCTTTCATCATAGCAAAATATCGTTTACCTTCATTCACCCGGCCCGCATGGCTGCACGCATAGAGCATACACAGGAACGTGATGAAATTCGGCTTCATGCCCGCTTTCTGCATTTTCTCGAAAAGTTCAAACACTTTCTCCGTGTGTGCGTGCTGAGCGCAAGCGATCAACATGGAATTCCACGAGCCCAGATTCTTATCTAAAACCTCGTCAAACACTTTATAAGAGCACTCAATCACGCCGCTTTTCGAGTACATGGAGACCAAAGAACTCCCTACGAAGCTGGTTCGGTCGTAGTTTGTTTTCAGGCATAAAGCGTGCAGCTGTTTGCCCAGCTCAAAAAGAGTCGAGTTCCCACAAACCCCAATCACGCTCGAGTACGTAAAATCGTTCACTTCCAAACCTTCACAAAACGCGTCTTTAAAGAGCCTCAGGGCCTCCTCGTCCTCCCCCATCTGTGCATACCCATATATCATCCCACTCCAAGACACCACGTTTTTCTCGGGCATTTTGTCGAACATGTTCCGGGCATCACCCAACATCCCGCATTTCGCATACATATCGACCATAGAGCTCCCCACGTACACGCTCTCGCCGAACCCAATCTTCACCGACAAACAGTACACAGACTGACCCAGGCGATGATCGTCTATCATCGCGCACGATTTGATCACACACGGCAAAATGTAGTCGTCGGGGAACATACCTTTGTTCTTAAGCATCAGCTTGAAATGCCCGAGCCCGTGGAATGGGAGTTCATTCTGAGAGAAGCACGAGATGATGGAGCTCCAGGTGGTGGGCGTCTTGAAGGGGGTCTCGCGGAAGATCCGCTCCGACGAGTGCGGGCGCTGGAGCTTGGAGTAGAAGTTGATTAGATGGTTGCAGACGAGAGCGATAGTGGCGAAGCCCGATTTGACGACGTGGGCGTGGAGGGATTGTCCTCTGATGAGATTTCTCGCGCGCGTGGAGCCGGCCAAGTGGTCGCAGATGAGGCGGTAGTTCGACTCGAAGCTCAGTTGATTGAGGGCGTTTTGGGGGTATATTGGGGAGATATTGAGGGGGTTTGGAGGCGGCGGCGGACCCAGGGAGGGCTCTTTCAGCAGACCTTGAAGCATTGACGGCGCTTTTGCAGAGGGGTCGTTAGACGGCGGCGAGGCGGGAATGCATGACGGCAGCAGAAAAAAAGATCAATGTTTGCGGGGTTTTGCATTTTAAACGAGGAAAAATTGTTAATTGGTGATTGGTCCCCGATTTTATTCGGTTTTCATTTAATTTTGTCCGTTAATCAAGCCATCCAATTCTCCGTACAGAGCCCGTGATGCACGGCTGCACAATTTTAAGGTTATTTATCTAGACTTATAATTATATACATGAATACATAAAAATGTACGGGATATATATAATACGTGACCCGTGCGAGGCACGGGATGTGAGGAATACTATATTATAAGATGCAATATTCAATAAAAGTTTTACAATACGCAGGAAAATTATACAATAAGATAGTATTCGACAAACAAACAATCATATATTATTAAAGACCATCTTGTACACAACATTATGAGTTTGATTTTCCATACAATAATAATAAGATTTTTTGTAAAAAGATAAGAAGGAATTTTCAATCTACACAAACTTTAAACATTAAATATATTTACGTAAATCAATGACTATATAGACAACTAAACCCTTCAATTTAGGCTTGACATCTACTTTATTTATGGGTGACGTAAAATAAGGATTTAATTTTGACCGATTAAATCTTTATTCATAGGCTTGACATATAAAACTGATTTGATGAGATTTTCTTAATTAAACCGATACTATGGGATAAAACAAATCTATACTTTCCTTTGACTTTTCCAGCAAAGGTAAAAAAATCGGTTCTGATTTTTATCCCATAACAAATCTTTAATGTCAAGCCTATAAATACTAAAACAAATCTGTAATTAATATCATTCTATTTTTAGCAAGCATTAATTACCTTTGACTTTTCTGCCTACTATTTCTAGTAAATAGGGTGACTTTTTATATAAGTATAGATTTCATATAATGTAAAGACCGAGATCATAAAAAAGAATCCTAAAAACTAAAACAATATATTTGCATAATTTAAGGCCATTAAGAAATCGATCTCTAAACCAGATTTGATTTTCAGAATATGTTTTTTCATTTCGAATTCCATACAAAATGAAATTCTTTCCAACCAATTGATGTCATAGCAAATATTAACTCTTAACTATTAAACTATTAGTACATACCAAGTAAATTGTGTACTGATTTTAGAAAGTTAAAATGATTCATGTTAGGTAATTTTACATTTTATGCATGTTGAACGGTGGGTTTTAAATATTGTTTCGTAGAATGTGAAAGTATAATAAATTTTTTTTATATGAGATGTTGAATTTGAAAATTAATAGAATTCTTCTTCATAGGAATTTTAAATGTAACAATATTCTTTGGTATACACTACTAATAAAATTTATATTTAAAGTTTATATTTTTTTTTTACCAGAAAAAATTCCTTAATTTAAGGAATCATATATCTTCAATCAGTCCACATATATATACATTCTTCACAATTTTAAATCTTGAATTTGATGAGAATTCGTATCTATGAGTGCAAAATATGGTTTAACAAATTAATTTTTTATTATTATTCCAGCCATACTTCTTTATACGATTTTTTGTGAAAATACAAAAGTAAATTTTTAATTTTAAATCAGCCGTATATTAAAGAGTACAAATTTGTTGAAATTACAAAAATAGTTTTTTTTACTTTTAAACAGACGTAAATTTAAATTAGTTATAAAAAAGTAATATTTTTTTACCATTTAAATATTAAATCAGCCATAATATATGTTGTTTGTTTTAGTTGCCACGATTTTCTCCAAACTAAATTAACAACTGTCATGATTTAAGGGCAACATTTAATACTGCTCTATTTTAAGGAGACATTAAATGTATTTGGCGAGAAAAACTTGCTAAAAGTGTTAAATGGTTAATCTTTTAATATAATGATAGATTAAATAGATTAACGGCGCCGAAAAGATGGCATTAAAATCATTAAATAAATGAAAACATGGCTACAAAAAATGCATAAATTTTGAAAAAAAAAATGCAAGCATTGGAACACAAATTACGCAAAATATGTCAACATTTGATAAATGCCTATTATAGCATTTAAAAGATACTACTTCCTATTCTTTTTAAATATCATTTTAGTTTTATCAACTATTAACCAAATAAATGACGTTTTATATCTTTTGTACATATTTTTCCATTGTTACTCTCATTTAACTAATAAATACACTACATTTTTTCATATTCATTCTTCTTTTTTTCCTAAAACATTCATCTCTATCTTCATTAAAAAGGATTATGGCAATAAAAAGATTTTTAATTACTGTGCAACTTCTTAAAACGACATTTATTATGAATAGGAGGGAGTAACAAAACGAGATATCACCTGTCAAATTTGAACAGCCGTATAAATAATTGAAGTTTCGAAGTTGCATTTCCATGTGCCGAGAAATCTCGAAATCTTGTGGTGATTGGATTTTCCAATTGATGATCGTGAGGAACTATTTGACTTCATAAAAAATAATTTTAATATCTATATATATTTTTTGAAAAAAAGAAAACGACGTTCAGATTTTTGGTAGCATTTGGATGAAGCTTACTTCGCAATTTTGAAAATCCAATAGTGACAACTCTTTGGCCTTAAGATTAATGACTTTACGAATTAGTGATTGCCTACTCCAACTATTACCGATCATTCTTTAAGGAATTAATATTCTTATGATTTTGAGACGAAATAGCTCATTTCTTAACAATAGCTAACATAGGGCGATCGACCTTAGTAACGGTGCCTAGTAAAAGAGTCGTCGCTCAATAAATAAAATTATTATAGTAATAATAGGATAATCTTCTTCAAGATTAGTTGACCAAATTACGCCCCTGTCACGGCTATGGTGTTGGGCCAATAGGGGTTGCCAGTGGCGGCGGCGCAATTTCGCGCGCGTGCGGTGGTCGCTGGCCGGTATGGGGGTTTAAGCTCGGCTGCGTTGGTGTTGGTCCAATGGTGGCCTTTTGGTTAAGGTTTTTGTCTTAGATCTGAATCTCGATAGTCGGTTGTTGAGTTTCTAGGTTTTTGTGTTTTGTTTATTTTCTCTCATTTAGAGTGTGTTTTTCATAGCCTCCCTTTATGAAGTATGCTAGTCACCCTCGTGGAGTCTTATAGGGTGTTTTTATTAGTTTTGATCATTTGGACAGTTGTGGGTCGTGTAAGGGAACACTTGTTGTGGTTTCTCCCCTTTGGTTCCCTTCTTGACTATTAAGGGTTAAGTGTAATCCGTTGATTACCGGTTTGTACTTCTGAAGTATGGTAATGAAATTTGATATTTGANNGAAAAAAAAAAAAAGAAAAAAGAAAGATATAGAAAAGTATATTTGCAATAAGACAATTCGAAATCAAATAAATAAAAGCTTATACGACGTCGTTTGCTATAAAAATTTCCACGACCTTCATTTGAAAAAGAAGTGTACTCTGGTTCATACTCGTTCTTACTACATCTCTCTCTCTCTCTCTCTCTCTCTCACACACACACACACACACGCACACAAAGGAATGGAACAAGACGAGCAGCTGCAGCTAATCGAACTGCCTCCGGAATCGGGCTCGGGCCCAATCATGTCGGCGACCGTGGGCCGGGTCATGACCACTCTACTCAGCACTAAGCCGAAGAAACTCCAGGAAGCCATTTCGCAGCTCCATTCCCCTCCCAAAATTGGCCCCATCGCTGGTACAAAAAACGCACACGCATGAATTTTGTATTATTTCGCGTGGTGTTTATGTATATATATATTTGGGTTAAATTTCTTTTTATTGTTTGGTTTTGTATGTAAGTTTCTCTGGAACAGTCACTGTGGTTTCTGCACAAGTACGTATGCGAAGCTGCAGATAGAGGCGAGGCTCTGGATCAAGTTCTTGTTCCCATTCTTCAACATGTAGGCCTTTTTTTCTTTAGTTGCTTTGCTTGTTTCTTACTTTCAAAGTTCATACTGGATCATTTATGTTAAACGTTTGCTAAGACATTGGCTTTTGAGTTTTGGCTTCTGCAATTCTTGTATTGTGTTTGCTTGAAAAAATTAGCTGTTGTGGTTGATAAATTGCAAACTAAGGCAACTTTAGGACTCAAACTAGACTGCCCTAGTGGATAAAATCAGAATTATGGAGATGACTTATTGTAACTCACGATGATCAACCGGTTTTACTGATAGGCATTGTCATTGAGAGAGTCGAAAAAAGTGAACCAGTCACTGGTACTTCTGAACTGGCTGTATCAAGATGAGGTTTTGTTCCAAGTCATAGCGAGAAATATGGCAGCTATTATTTCGAGAAGGGATGATCGTTATGTGGCTTTGGGGTGGTGTTTTCTTGGACGTAGTCTAATCGAATATGAGAATGTTGTGGACTTCTCAGTTAATGGTAAGTTTAGTTACTTGGGTTCCTATTTGTTTGTTTGCTCAGTTGTCCAGGTTATCGACAATCTGAACTATTTATTATATATCTGGATGGCATAGTTTGTTCGACATCCGCATTATTGTATCTTTTGCTTTTGCTCCTTCTCGATGGAGATTATTAATAGTGATATTGATATCCTCTTTTTTGCTTTGCTCTTTCTCGATGGAGATTATTAATAGTGATGTTGACATCCTCTTTGCACCTTTGGTAGCTAAAAAAGAAGTCGATAACAATTATATGGTCGATACTTTTGCAGCAATAAGTGAGAAGCGTGATGACCTATTGAAGACATTCTGTTCTTGTGTCACCCATCTCGTTACTGTAATATGCAATGGCAGGTAAGATTCTTTTACTTGATTCTCTATGCTCAACATTCATTGGAATTATGCTAAAATAAGTCAACTCATACTTTGCTGAAGATAATGTTTCAGGGCTTTCTGATGCTTTGATTTTAAGTTGTTTTTGCTTTTTCTTCCATCATTACTTCATGTTTTCCTCCCAGTATACTGTACTATTATGCGTAGGTACCTGTATTTGTGTTTCTTAGGGCTAATCCAGAATAACAATGCTACATAATGTAAAAAATTTTGCTCTCCTTTGACCATTTGAAATTACAGTAATATGCAGGACGGATTTGAGTTGCCAACTCGCCTTGCAGTTGCTGCTTCAGATTTTGTGTTATCTCTTACAGTAGCATTGACTGAAAAGAATCTTCCATCCAATAAGTTAACCAAAAAGAAAATGTCATCTTCGGTTAATGTTAAAAATCAGACTCTTAATTTTTTATCGGGTTCGACTAATGATGAGGATCAGAATACTTCGAGGAATGCATCTGAACTGTCGTCCACCATGGAATTGAAATTGCTTCTTTGGAATAAATTCAATGATCTTATAACTCTTGTGAAGAAGCTTACAGCGGTATGTTCTTTACTTTCTTATCAATTGTTCATGAGGATTTTGCTTATATTTTCTGCTTTATTCTCTTTACCAGCCTTTATCATGTTATTTGGTGTTTCTATTCTGTAATTGATTATTCCAAATATGCAGTGGAGCAGAAAAAGCCGTTCTTTGCATGCAAAAGGATTGGAAAGGGTATTGAAGTGGCTGCATGAAATTAAAAACCTTTATGGTGGCTTTCAAGATGAGGCAGGTCTTTCTGATACCAGAAGTTCAAAATAATTTCTACATGTTCTTTTGCTCAACCTTCAATTTTTTATATTTGTTTTTCTGAAAGACAGAACCGCAAATGATGAAGGCTGGTTCTTTGCTTTTGTGTTCTTGTTGGAAACATTATGGCATGCTCATGCATATAGAAGACCACAAGTTTTCTCAGCAACATAAAGAACTGCTCAACCAGTATTTGTCCGGTATTCAGGTAGCATTTCTTTGTTTGGACAATTTGTTTACATAGTTAATATTGAGACGAAGAATGTCTCAATCTTGTGGTAAGGGTAAAAGTATTATAGGCCCAACCAATATACGAAAGGCCCATATGCTAGCTCTATATATATATGCCATCTCCATCAGTGAAGAAATCATCTATCCAAAAACCTAGGGTTTTGCAACGTGGTATCAGAGCGCGCCTGATTTTGGCCGTGCCATGTTTCAATCTACCTGTTGTCCATTGCAAATGGAGCTGGAAGAGTCATTGTTGACAATTCTCCTGGCATAGTGCTAATATGCTAATAATGGACTAGATCAAAATGGCTCAATTAAATTCTAGTGTTTCTTCTTTTAGTGAAGTTTCTAGAAAAAAAAAATATATCAAACGGCGCAATGCACCTTGGGTCGCTACGGAAACAACCTCCTTGTATAATTACAGAGGTAAGGTCTACCTCCAGACCCCAACCTGTTGGAAATATACTGGGTATGTTGTTGTTGTTGTTGTTGATGATGTTTCAATCTACCTAGCTTGGTCTGGGCTTGGGCCTATGAAGGACTCACAAGTGGGGGGGCGTGTTAGAATATCACTTATGAGTTATCCCACATTGATTCTATAGGGAAAATGGGTCTATTTTATAAGCATAGTGGGCTACTCCTCCCATCACCAATTGGTTTTGGAATAGAACCTCACTTAGGTTGCACCTAGGCTCACCCTCTCATGGTGCGTTTTCCCTCTATGGGACCCACCACTTTTAATGAATCTAGAACTCTAATAATAAGCCCAAACTATGTATGCCAGAAGATAGGCTTCATTCAAAGTACATCTTATGATTGTTTTGCTTTTCCTAGAAATTGTTGATGCAATGTTAAATGCTTCAAGTTTTTCTGTACACTTGTGTTTATGCTTTTGCTTTCAGAAAGTATATAATTATATGCTAAATATTTGGTGGCCAATTAGACACCAGAGGTCACCAACTTAGTGTAACTGTTTACAAACACTCTGCAACCAAATTTTTCTGGTGAAATCTCTGAAATTTTCAGCTTGTGCATAGAGTAGCAATTTGTGAGGCTTCTGAGAATTCCCTTTTGACTCTTTTTTTTTTTCTTTTAATTTAAAAACTTTAAACTCCTGTAAAAGAAAATTAGACCACCTGCTGATTATGGATTAGAATAGTATGTCCGGTTCTAGATCTCTTGGCTTCGCAATTTTATTTTAGATTTAAATATAACTTTAAGATTTCACATGAATATATGCTGATTTAATAGAGTGCGACCTGCCTGCTGCTTTTAGTTCTTGTTTAATTCTTCATATTCTTGTTAATGTTTGCAGTTTTATGCTGATGACCAAGCTGAAGATCCTAATAATGGCCGAAACAGCAAATCGGATACAATCAACTTTTTCCTTAACTGTCTTTTGCTTTTATTGGGTAGACTAGATAGTCATCAATTCGGGAATGCAATAGAAGAGTTTGGATCTCAAATTTCTCAAGTTTTCATGTCTCAGGTAGTAAGAATCTAAACTTCTTAGTTTAAGATATACTAAGTTTAAGATCTCACACTAGCAATAATGATGTTCTGCAGTTACGGTCTGCTGATGAGGAAGTTATTGATGGAGCTATTAGCATATTCAAATCTGTAGTCTGGAAAACAAATCATACTTTATCCAGAAGATGTCTTGATAACGGTAGACAAATGGATGCTTTACTTCCAATGCTGCTTAATTTTTTGGAGGAACAGGACACTGCAGCAAAAGCTATTGTAAAGCTGCTGGCAGAATATTGTTCAGTGTAAGATTTGTTAGTGACATCTTATGTATATTTTGTAGCAAAAGCTACTGTAACTATTAATCGGGTTAATTATTTAATTTACAGATGTTCGGACTGTAACTGTCTTTATGAAGTTCTAAAGCGCATTGGCTCCCCAAATGTTGCACAAAGGAGAAATGTTGTTGATTTTGTAGCAGATCTTGTCCACATATCCTCTGGGGCAATTGATGCACTTCCACAAGCGGCATGGTTTGGAAATAAAATGATTGTTTTTGCCTTTTATGATAGTTCCGACTTCTTTCTTTTAATTATTGTCATGTGTTAATATATTCTGAATTTTTCAGGAAAGACATTGCTAATCTCTTATTAGAGTGTCTTGAAGATGAAGATCGGAGTGTACAAAACCAGGCAGCCGATTTGATTCCCAAGATTGGTTAGTTTGATTCATAAAAATGTACAAAAAATGAGTACATGATAAATGTTTCTTCCTTTGTATACATGGTCCATATATCTTGTCTTTGTCACTAGGATGGTGTGTGGTTCTTCCTTATTTAATGTTAGATCAAGAGTCACGTGAATATAAAAATGACTATTTTGCACCTGGTGCATTTCGAAATTGATGTAGTATTGTTCAATTCTACTCACTGTTACAGATCCAATGTTGGTTTTGCCGACGCTCGTTGAACTAATTCATTCAAGTGAGGAAAGCATACAATTATTGGCAAGCAATGCTCTCATGGCATTGCTTGTCAATCATAAACAGAACCCAGAAGTCGTGTGTTTTCTGCTTGACTGTCTCAGGTGCTGTGACCAATGAGTTATTTAACTTGTCGGTCTTACATTTTAGTATCTTATACCTGTGAGTTAGGAGTTCCATGAAATTTTTTGGTCATAATGCTACATTCTGTATTACAGAACATAGAACACAAAATAATATCCCCCTTGCCATTATCAATTTCTTCTACTTTTAAGCTTTGACATAGTGATGACACGTTATATGTATTATCTTATACAGCAAAATCTCTCAGGACCCAGTGTCCGGTGCTTCTACTGGTCAAAAACAAGGTTTGTGGATAACTTCCAGAATTTCTCATTCCACCTTTTAAAGTTCCTTATTTATTTTTCATCATATTTACCTTTCTCTCTTTCCATTTATAGTTGCTCCCTGTGGATCCCAATCAAGGATTACTAAGGGAGAAAAGAAACTAGAGGAACTGCCTTTTACATGTATGGAATATATACTTTATTCATCACTTAACATGATTCATTATGACATTTCATTATAGGATCAGCTGTAGATGCTGAGAAGCTGTTGAAGTTGCTTTCTGAATGGGCAAAGCATGTAAGTTAACCGTCACCGTTGATGCTTGATAATAAACTGTTTCCATATTTATTATTTATGGATCTGAAATGTCCCACTGGTAGCTGCTTCTCATGACGTCCATACTTGAGTAGCTTAATCTCACTGTAATATATAGAGCGCCCGTATTCTTACATCATGATTCTTGTTTGAAGCCAGAATCTTAATTTGTTCTCTGAGATAAATTAAACCTTCTTTTTCCAGATGTTACAAGATTTGCAAATTCTATTAAAAAATAGAGAACTCTTCAAACCAAATAATTTCAGATACTTATTTTGTTCGATAAAGGGAGAAGATTGATATGCATTAATAACCAATCTGTTGTTTCCTCCTTTCTTGATTCTTCTGTGTCTGGAAAACCTTGTAAATGGCACGTGAATTCTCCAGGTTGGCTACATTAGACATTTTAAAACAATGATGAATCACAAACTTTTGCATATAATTGAGCTTTATAATGTTAAGATTTCTGTCTCATTTGGTTGCTGTCTTTTCTTTCCTTCATTCTTCTTTTTCAATTTTCCAGTTCTATTGATTTCGCCACAAATTTCTTCCTGGAAATTTTCAGGTTGAAGATTGGCATAATATAGCTGGCCCCTTGATAGACAAGATGTTAGCTGAGCCATCAAATGCTGTCATCGTCAGATTCCTCAGTCATATAAGTGAATACTTGGCTGATGCTGTGGATGTAGTTTTTAATCGACTGATGGTTGATGTGAGAGAGCAGAAAGAGTGAGTAACCTTAGATTCTGATATCCCCTTCATTTTAAATCTTTTTTATTTTTCGATATTTCTTTGAATCAGTCCAAGTGTCTTATTATTAATTTAATTTTGGTATCCTCATCTGCTTCTCAACAACGGGCACCACCCCATAGTATTAACAACCAGTCTGTTTTTCTGGTACGTTCAGTGCCTGCTCTCTTGTATATTTATGAATGAATTCTCGGAGAATTCAGTTTTTTTTTTTTGTTAAAAGCAAATGGAAAAGAAAGAGTAGCAGATGAGGAAGCATGATAGGTAGGTCATTTTGTGAGATAATGGGCCGCCCACTAGTTTTCTGATTGTTTCTTGTTTTGGGTTTTATAACAAATACATGAACAGAAGGGATAAACATAACTTCTTGCAATGATATTCTTTTCTGTTTTGGTTTGGGCAGAAATGGTGATTGGTTTACAGAAGGGAAAGTAATGACTGACTCTGATAATGAGGCAATGCAACGTGAGCAGTGTCTCTTTACTCGGCTTTGCCCGTTGCTTGTTATCAGACTGCTTCCATTAAGAGTCTTCGATGACCTCACTTCTCCTATTGTGTATGGTGAATTTTTGAGGAATTCAGATATCCATGGTATGTTTCTGAATTTTGTTTGTAAACTTGCTTGTCCATGTAGATTGTTTCAGGAGCTACTTCATAAACATTTAACATTTCTTTTATATATTATATGGAGATATCCTCATTGTTAAAGCTTTTATACCTTATGCCAATTTGGTTAATGGTAAATTGAGTCAGTTTCTTCAATTTCAACCGCCTCCTGTTAATAGGTTTAGCGATTGCATACAAAGTGAAAACTCAAAATTGGTCGCATATTTCAGATTTTTGCAAACTCATTCTGCAATAGTGCACTTCTTGAAATCATTGATTTCACTGAAAATGTCTATGCATATTTACTTATTTGTGTTCTGATTTGTGTTTGCTTCTGAAGACAGGCATATTACCTTTGAGGCCACCGAGTGCATCGCTGCCTTGATGATTAACAGGTTTTGCCGACAAATTAAATACTTCTGTGTGTTTGATGCTTCATAAAAGAATTTGTTTATTTATATTTAATAATTAATATCTTAATTAGGGCTTTGAGTAAGACCGAATTTGAAGATGTCAGGAAGCTTGCGGCTGAGCTATGTGGGAGAATTCACCCTAAGGTAAATGCCTTTTCAAAATATTTTGGCACTTATTTTTTTATGGCCTATTTTATTTCTAACTTTAGTTGGTTCGCTAAATTGATCATTCCAGTTAGTTTTCGTTATACTGAACTAATTTTTACCCATTAATTTATTTGGTAATTAATAATTATAGACCTCTTGTATGTAATATTTGTAATTTGGAATGACAACTGGATCCATTTCGTAATTAAGCTAAACTCAGGGATAGTTGTTGTAATATAATGCTACTCATTTTGTGATTATGCAGGTTCTTGTTCCAATTTTGGCTTCTCAGTTGGAATCCTCTGCTGCCACGAAGGATGTTTTGAGGATCAAAGTTTGCCTTTTTTCCTTCTGTACATCTCTAATGGTAAGGTTATACAATCAGCATCAAGTCTGACATGTCAATGCATGTATTCGGCTTTTGCATAAATTGCTTAGTTATCTACACCCATTTTTTAATATTTTTTTCTTTTATTTTTTTCCTTTTGACGCGATCAGGTTAGAGGGAACGCTGTTTATAAGCATCCTGATTTGCTCAGCATAAAGAAAACGATAAGGAAAGTTTTATCATGGATGTCAGTTGATGGAGATGAAAGTAAGTAGTCACTTTTTTTATACTGCTGTTTGCCGAGTTCACTTTTTCCTGAAAGTACTATATTTATTTCTTTATCTTGTCTTCAGTTTCTAAAGCACAGCACGGATGCATCGACTGTCTGGCTTTGATGTTGTGCACAGAAGTACAAGCTCCCGAGTATTCAACAGGTTCAAACTTAAGAATATGGCCTTTGTTAATATATTGAATAATTATAAAACTACCAAGTGTAACCGACTTACGATTGTGTTTACTAAACAAATACACAACCACTAACCCCACCCCCACCCCCCA